ACCCAACTGGATCGAAAATATAACCCATACCTAAAACATGACCCAAAACTAAAACAAATTCCTAATGTTGTAACTTCAACGAATATTCTGGGAAAATTTGCTCCGAATCTGGCTTCAACTCCAACATGAAAGTCGTAGCTCTCTCTCTTAACTTTCCGACGATTTTCAGAACGCCTCAAACGGATTCCCGGAACTCCAGTTATGATCGTTTTCGCGCAGACTGCTAAAGCTGAAAAATAAAGTGCGAAAATTAAATTAAACCAAAAATAAAATAAAATATAAAAACATAATAAAACATAAGAATAATCAAAATAAAGTAAATAAATGCTTAAGTAAAAATATAGGAGAATGTGCATAAAGATGCACTGATCAGAGGGCAAGGTGGTCATTATAGAAGCATTAATGAGGGTAAGTTGACAAAAGAGAAAATAGAAGTGGAGAAGTTCATTCTGAACGATCCTGGTTTGGAGAAACGACACTGAGGAAAAAGGTAGAGGGGCTAGAACTCTAAGAGATTGCTGTAGAACTCAAGTAAAAGGGTCAGAACTAAGAATTTAAGGTATGAGGAGTATTACTTTTCATTATAATTGATACAAGGTTTAGATGTATGTAGGTGATTTTGGGGTTTTAGGGAGACTGTAGTAATATGATGGTAATGTGATGATCCATGACAAAATAAGTGATAGAATGATGTTTTAGTGCTATTAGATGATGTATGTAATGCCTATTATAAAGTTTTATTGTTGTATTATGATATCTCATGAATTATGTGCGTTTTCGGATTGAACGATATTGGAATCATAAGAGTTTTGAGGTCTGGACTGGGCAGAAAACGCAACTGCAAAGTTGTTGTTTTTGCACTTTCGTCGGGCGAGTCATATATTTCGCCGGACGGAGCTATTTCGCTCAGGAAGCGTCGGGCAAGAGGAGAGGCGAATGAAGGATGAAAAAGAGGTGCTCTTGAAATTTTGTATGGGGAAGGCGTTTCGCGCCTGCTTTGCCGGGCGACCTCGGGCGAGCAGAAGCTGATATTTTTTTTATTTTACTTTTCTTTTGTCTTTCTTTTCTTTCTTTTTGTTGTTGTGTTGTTTCACATGAAGTGAAATGATTAATATGATGTATTTCTAATAATGATGCTATGATGGAGTGTGATTGATTATGAGGGATATACTACGACGATTACATGAATGATGATACAAATTTGACTAGTTGTGGTCATGTTTATTGTGATGTGTTGCATCATGCATTCATAGCATATGTTAGGACTTCGATCCAGTGGCGATGTTAGGACTTCAGACCAGTGATGATGTTAGGACTCCGGTCCAGTGGTTGCCTCAATCCCATTGTGTGGATTGAGTGTGTTTGATGATGTCCTCCATTCCGACTGGGAATCGATCATATGGTGGGGATCTTTGGAGGGAGATGACCATGTGTTCATCAAAGTGTTGGTACCACATGCATGAGTTATTTTGTTGCATTACATACTAAATAACATTGCATAAATATGAGTTAATAAATGTTTTGATGATGTTGTGACATAAGTGATATTTTGACGATGATGATTTATTGATGACGTAACAACATTGTGAATGACTTAATGAAGTGACACTGTGAGTATGTGTATGATGTGTGATGAATATATGAAGTGACTGTTACGCGATGATTTGTTTTATGTTTATTTTTGATTATGATCAACGTCCTTGAAGTCCTTTGAAAAAAATTATGAAGTCATGTCGATACTAAGATTCCGCTGTGAAGTTTTAATTATATGTGGAGTTATTAAGATGAATTCTATAATTATTTGAAACCCGTGTTATGGAGCAGGATGTGTGATAAGAATGTTTTTATGAAGCATGCGACACCCTTGTTGGTGATTTACTTTGATTTGATTATTGATTTATGCGCTAAATTATTCGTTGAATTTAGAAGGGTGTTACAGTGCCAACTCTGATGCCAATTAAAATTCTGGCATTATAACACATATTAATATTGATGTCCTCACATCAAAACATAATGTCAAGACAAATGTTGCAACATCTGTCTGTCTGACAGAACAATTATATCAGACTGTAAAATATGCAGCATTAAATTGCAAAATGATAAACAACACAACAAATTGTTAACCCAGTTCAGTGTAACATCATCTACATCTAGGGGCTACCAAGCCATGAAATAAATTTACTATGATATCATTAGTTCAAACCTAAACTCCCCCGCTTACAACTTCTCTCCTAATCACTACCTTGTGCAACTTCTATCTAGAAGCTCTTTAGATATGAGATCTCCCTCTCACTTCCTAATCAGTCATAATGACAATTCAACAACTACACAAAATAGAAGTACTAACCCTTCAAAGTACAATACTTGGTTTTACTTAAAAGTTTCAACCAAGAACAATACACTCTTACTTAAAAGCTTTAGAGTGGACACTTAACAATACATAATCAGTATACCTCTATGTATCAAAAGATACAAGGGTGACATACAATTAACACGAATAAAACTCTCAAAACCTAAGACTCTAAAACCTCCCCTTATTTTACAAAAGTGAAAGTCGTGAAATACATTAGGTTTAAGTCTTCTTTAAATAGTCTTTAAACCTCGTGAGCTTGGCCTCTTAAAGCGCAATTTATCAGGAATCAGCTTGGAATCATAAGCACAATCTCCTGCACAAAAATCGGAACAAAATACAAAGTTTTCTAAAAAGACTTAAGGATCCTTTTTATGAAAACAAACAAAATATGTCGAAACAAAAGTTCTCACAATATCCTCCATTGGATAACGCAAACGTGTGAATTAAAACACACTAACAAATCACACTAAAAATAGCAAAACAGTCATGCCCTAACTTTCTGGTATAACATGTCCTAGCACATGTCACAGCATCATACTGAACATGATGTCTGTCTGTCATGACAAAACATCTGATTTAACATCTTACTAGCAGTATGTTTTACCAAAATGTTGACAATCCAAAAACCACAGAACTTACACGGACCATTTTAAAAAGCGTCTCATATACCTTTGTCAATGAAGTTGACGTGAATACGCATAAGAGCTTTTTAATAACCATAATTTTTGCCAGTGAAAATTGGTGCTCTATTGTACGCTCCCTTAAATTTGACAACCATTCTTCTAAAGAGTAAATCTCAAGCACATAATTAACTGGAGTTCTTGATGCCACTTGTTAGTCACTTTAAAAATTATTTGGTGTGCAAGTAGGGCTGCCAATGAACCAAACCAACTCGAAGATAGTTCGAAATTCGACTCGACAATTAAATCGGTGAACTAGGTTCATGAACCAAATGAGTTGAGTATGAGCGAAAAATTAAGTTCGTTATCTAAATGAGCTGAACTTGAACTATACATAGTTTGACTCGTTAGGTTCATGAGTCAACTCGATTACATATGAAAAGAATTATACTGTCTTTAAGATTAGGTTTAAATATTTACTTCAAATCTTAGACAAATTTAATCTTCAATTTAGTAGTTTTTGAATTAGACTCTCAAATGTATCTCTTGAAAGTTGTGTAGGTTTTGAATTAGTAGATTTCGAAGATAAAGTTAAATTTCAATATGATAACTTTTATTTTATTTTAATATTTTATTTAAAATATATATATTTATTTAAAATGTCAAATATACTAAAAAATATATATATTTAAAAAAATAGTTTTTAACTTCGTGAACCATGTGAGCTGAACCTAATGAGATGAACCTAAAGAGTCGAACCGAACTGTTCGTGAACTTATAATGAGTCGAGTTTGAGCTTAAAAAAAAGTTTGTGTCAAACTCGAACTCGAACTCGAATTCAAACAATTCTTAACGAGTCGAGCCGAGCTGAGGTGAGTTCGACTCGACTCGACTCATTTCCAGCCCTATGTGCAAGTGATCTCATCTATAAATAGGGAGATGCCCTACTGTTGTAAGTAGTTGTTGTTGAATAAGAGAAATTCAGTTAGAATAAATGCAGAGAAAAAAACTCTATAAAATCTGATTCATCTTCTTCCTCTTTCTCCCAAAATCCTAATTTCTCTTTTCTTCCCCAATTCACTTTCACATATTTCTTTTTTTCTCAAATCATTTTGCGACGGAATCATCTTACAATTAAAGTGTGGTTAAATCAAAATTAATTCAATTTATCTATAAAATTGGGATTAATTCCAACAACCATCGCATTTCCTTGCTCACTCGCTGTAAATTTCTATTTGAAATCATGTTACCGTTGTTTTATATGTTGTCAACATGTTTAATATCACTTCCTATGGCTTGTAAGGATCATGATAATTTGAATTCTTTGATTCATCCATAACCACAAATAATGACAAATTGTAGCCCAAGTTGCATCCCATCTAACCTTTTTATTCTTTCCAATATGATTGTTCAAACTAAAATCAAACTATTGCTCTTTACATGAATCTTATTTATTCACCATTTAACGTGTTAAATTAGACGTGGGTTTAGTAAAATACCTACAATTTTTCAAATGACACTTGTTAATACCCACAATTATACCATAATCGGCTTCTATTTATGGTATAACATAATTGTTTAAACGTTTATACATGTATACAACTCATGGAAAGGACTCTACAACCTTCAATATATCTTCTGTCACATTTTGAGATCCAATTGTGAGATTATATCCTGCTCGAACCATAATGCCTATCAGCATTTATATACCATTGCTCAACTACCCAACATAATAATAATGTCTAATAATAGTATGTTCTTGTATGCAACAAGCCTACAAGTTAAAAATTCAAAGTTAAAATTAGAATTTATTCTTACATGTTAATTAGGTGCACTTATCCAATTATCAAAATCTTCAGGAACAATTTTAGATAGTTATGTTATCTAAGATTCTAAGGAAAGCTAAGATCATATTATGTTTATAATGTACACAAAAATTCTTTAAGCACCTATAACTACCTACCTTTCTTTCTCACACCAACTAGCTCTAGGGCCAATAAGAATCTCTTCAGAGCTGTAAGATGTAGTCATACCCACCATGGCTTGTCTATTAGATCCTTGGAGAACATGTACCTGAATCTAGAACTGTGAGGCCGCCATTCTATGATTTGAGATGATTTTTTGTTGGACTTACGATCAAGGCACTTCTGTATCGAATCATGCAGTTTCTTTTCAACATTTTCTATGATCCATCCAAGGATATCATCAATGCTGATTGATGCTTCTTTGGAAAATCTTTCCACCAGTTTAGGGAGAAAAACTTTACTAGACTTCTTTACAACTACATTTGCCTGAAGAAACTCTCTCTTCGCAGAATTCAGCTCTTCTCTTAGATTTGAAGCTGAGTAAACTTTTAGCTGCAACATTGCATCAACTAAATTATTGATCAACTATTAAAATTAAGAATAAAGCCCTACATAACCAACGTTCACATTTCTTGATATATTCAAACTACAAAGAAGTAAATGGCAAAAAATTACCATAGGATCTGACATTGTTCCGGTGCAAAGGGCAAAGATGACAAGAGGTTGGGAATCAGTAATACTCAATTTTGAGTTGATGAGTTGTCTTTCTTCACCACTTTTCTTCCTAAGGGCAGCAGACACAATGCTTTCAAGCCACTGAGTTTGATAAAAACACAAACGATAATCAGATGAAACACTGAGATCATCAAACTCTGTTAGATTTTTTTCTTCAATTGGTTTTAAGGAAAAAGGGAAGCACAATATAATATCAATAATTGAAATTAATGTCGTAATGAAGGTCTTAGCATCCCACTCAAATAATAGACTAATGTCTTCCTGCAGCAACATAGTATTGTTAACAGCAGATACAAATCATGGGAAGTATCAGTAATTTGTAAACCTTGGCAGTCCAAAACAGAAAAATATATTTAGAGGTTGGGCTATTTAGATCGATCAATATATTCCACCATTAGATTTTTGTGCATCCATGTATGAACCTGACAAGACTTCGCATATGTGTATATGTGTGAATATGCATGTATATGTGTACATTTTAGGTGCCATGTTTTTTACACTAAGAACAAGTGAGTACCCGTCCAAGGCGAGGTGTCCGGAAGCAAAATATTGCTTGCTCTATGGTATTTGCACTTATAGTATGACCGCCAACGTTGTAAGCAGCCTGCACTACACAACTGCAATCGTCAGTTCATTTTCATGTATGATGTATCTATAATTGTATTTTTAAACAAAAATGCTATCAAGAATAAAACTGTACGTATGAGAAAAATAAGTGTATTATTATGACATCAGATGTCAAAGCAAGTTATCTTGGAACCCAGGTTAAATGTCCTACAAGTAATTTATAGACGATACAAGCGCAAATGGATTTTTCTTTTCTTTTTGTTCACTGGTACAGATGAAGGTGTTAGTTGTTGGTTTAGGTAAATACAGCAGTTTCTTTACAATCTAACTGATAGAAAAATCCAATACAATGAAAAATAGACAAGTTATTTGGTTATGATCCTAGATTTTCGCCAGAGTAAATCAATAATTCGTTTGCAAAGACCACTTTGGAGACAGTATTTAAATACCCCGTCTAAAAGTTTCACTAACATCGATGTCTTAGAAAATCCCTTCATCAAAGACTTAAAGATCTTGCCACCAATTGATGATAATACATACTATCAAATAAATACATAAATCCTACCTTGTGAAACAAGGCCAACCTCCTTAGAGAGTTTTGGGGAATTCCATATGCTAAATATGCCTGTCAGCAGCAAAAAAAAATTATATGTGCTGAAAATTGGTAAATCAAAACCGTGGCTATTCATATGAGTGTGAATATTACATGCATCACAAGAGCATTATGAACATTGATCCAGAACGCAATTTTCCCATCACATTCCATTTGACTGATATTCACTCTTTCAAGCTGTTCGACTAGCATTCTGAAAGAAACAAGATAAAAACATTTTAAGTCAACAGTTCAAAAAGAATGTCAGGATAAACATGTCTATGCTTTTTTAACACACTACTTACCTTTAGATTATTCATAGAGGCAACTAAAAACTAATTGATTTTTTATTTTTGACACAGTTATATGTATAACACCGTTTTGAAATTATATGCAAAGAACCAACCTGTAGTTGTCCATGGCGTAAGAAGCGTGAGAAGAATGACGTTTTCGTGTAGCTATCCAAGATATTTCCACTGCAGATTTGCAAGAACATTCTCGATCCTCTACAACACCATGTCGAGGCTGTATGGCATTGGTGGAGGACCTTGACAATATAGGTGACCTACTATTTTCAGCATTGCCAGATTTTGCACTACGGAGCCAGCAATATATAGTTGCCATACACTTCACCATCTCCTCAGAAAGCTTGCTTGGGCACTGGTGTAGATGGTCTTTTAAAGGTCGCAATGCAGGGGCTTTCTCTATAGAAGAAAACTTCTCGTGAACCTAACATAGGATTAAGGTGAGAATGTTGGATAGGACAAACATCCTAAGAGTATCTTTACAATGTTATGCATAGATATTTTTATTTTTCCATTTTGAGCTATTGCAAATGAAACAATCAACTAGAAACTAGAAATATTTTGACACAACATACAACCTACCTTGGCGGTGGAATCGGGAAAAGTCCTTCCAAAAGAAACTTTGCCTTTTCCACTTGATAAAGGAGCATGACTTGACCTGAAGATTCTGTTCTTCAAATCGTTATTTGAAATAAGAGCTTGCAGGGGTCGCAAGGGGAAGTTTTTTGATGAACAGAAAGCGCTTGAAATTATGCTTGGGTGCTTCCTTGATTCGTGTTTTGTATGAGCCGGTGAAGCCACACCAGAATTCTGTTCAGAAGGTGGCTGGCTAACACACTGTTCAAAAATACTCCTGTACATCGAAAGCACGTGCTGCTCACGGCTTGTAACTTCTTCTTCAAGTAACTCAATTTCAGCAATCAAGTCTTTTGTCTAAAAAAGGGAGAAAATTAGAAATAGTTAATTCCCACACAACAAAACTAATAGAAATCATAGCTTTCATGAGAAATATTATGCTGTGCTTTCACATGCCAATCAAAATTTAAATTTAAGGAACGAGACTCTTTATGATTATCATCAGTTATCATCACACTACCATCCTTTACATTCGAATTAGCTCCTTTGGTCCTAATTCCTAACAACTTATTTGTGAATGTCTTATTCATTGTTGAGTCCAGTCTATCAATGAAGAACCAAGTTAAACTGAGAGCTTATGTGCTTTGGCGAGTACCTAAGAAAGGTTCATGTCTCACTCACGCCTACTCCTTTCTTAACAGCTTCAGATATGCACAAATCACAGGTTCATCGGCCATTACCTCTGAACAGCAAATGTCAAATTACCTGAGAAGCAAAGTTTCTGTGCCCAGGTGATAAAGTACTCGAGGCTCGGCCCATCGCTCTCTCGAGTAAGATACGCATAGATTTCTCCTGCTGAAGGCATAACTGTAGCTGCTCAACCTGCATATCAATATATGACTCTGGAAATAAGATCTACTAATAGACCAAACCATAACGAGAGACAAGATAAATTCGAAATATAAAACTTACATCTTGCTCCAAAGACGCTCTATGATTCAAAGAAGCATTCTTGTTTAAGCACTTGAGACTCTCATGCAACGGAGTCTGTATCCTAGAAACCCTAAGCGGGGATGCCTGTTCAAGTCAATGCAAAACCATTGAGTTACACAACTCACATTCAAAAAAAACTTCAAGATCAATCATTTTCCCAATCTTTAAAAACTGCATTCTTAAAACCACTCACAATAAATTCATCCTCATCTTTCCCTATAGGATACAAAACTCCACCATCTCTTGAGAATTTCAAGTTCCTATCAGAAGCACTGAAAAACACACAAACAGAAATCAGTTGAAAACAGTAACCATAACTTGTCTAAAAAAACACAAACAACAAACAAAAACCTGTTAGATCGTCTGTGTCGAGAATTTGCAGTATGAGAAACATATCCAGCAACTGCTTCTGCATCAATGTTATTTTCAGACACACGACGAAACTCGGTCATCATAAATTCTTAACTAGTCTAGAAAATCAGACACATTCTTCTTCTACTTAATATAAATCGAAGGAAGAGAGTGTGGGACTCACGTAATTAATTGGTAAAACAAAAATAGAATTGAAATGAAAATGGGATTGAAATTGTGTAGAGTGGTTACCCTAGAAAGTGTGGTAGTGGTGAGAGTGAGACAATGTAGGTGGTGAAGTGGTCACAGAATTGAATTCGATGAGGAGTGAGTAGTTGAGAGCATTCAATGTTGTTGAGAGTATTGATTCTGTTCAGATTCAGACAAAGGCACTTGGATTTTGAAACGGAAATAGTATTGGTTTCTGTGCATTTTTGTTTGCTATAATTTGATTTGATTGATAAGTACCCGCCATTGTGTTCAATTCTTCTTACCCACTTTTTCTCCTTTTCAACACCTTCCTTTAATAAAATGAATGTTCCTCTCTCCCTCCAAAAATAACCGTTTGTAATATTTTTAAGATTTTAGTATTTTATAGACATCTAAGTTATTTAGGGGTTTCTATATAGATTTTTTATTTATTTTTATAATTAGGTTAATGAACGACTCCTTCATCACTTTTTTTTAATAATTTATTTTATCCTTTTTAATCGTCACTTATCAAATTTAAGATAGCATTAATGGTATTTTTGTTAAAATATGAATATAATAAATGATTAAGAGTATTATAAATAAAAAAAGAATTATTTTTTAAAAAGTAACAATAATGATTAATTTTTTTGATATGGGTAAAAAAGTAAAGAAATACCCTTAAAAAATACGTATTTTTAAAATGAGATTCTTCTATATAATCATATTATACTTCCAGTCAAATTTCAATATTTTGATTATAAATTTAATAAAAATATTTTTATTTATGAGATCTATTTAAAAATATCAACCTATTACATAATAAATCTTAATAATATGTAAATATTATTAAATGACATAAAAATTAGGAATATATTGGTGAGTGGTAAAATTGAATGAAAAATGATATCATTTGTTCCATCTAATTAATTAATAAAATTAAGTTATATTTCATCTCATATTAATTCACTTCATCGCATTTGAGAGAGATATTAAATGACATAAAAATTAGAAATATATTGGTGAGCGGTGAAATTGAATGAAAAATAATATCATTTGTTCCATCTAATTAATTAATAAAATTTAGTTATATTTCATCTCATATTAATTCACTTCATCACATTTCTCAGAGAGAGAGGAAAAGTAGCGACTTTCCACGACACCCTTTGTTACGTCGCCAAAAAATCGAGGTAATAATCCTTTCTCAACCGAGGTAAAATAGGTCATTCGTAGTGGTGGTGGTGGTTGAATCTGAGTCAATTTAACCTTAATCAAATCTTGAAAGATGAAAATTAGAAAGAAGCTATAAAGGAAGAACTCAGGGCAATTGAGAAGAATCATACCTAAGAGATGATTAATCACTCAATCAAGAGAAAAATAGATGCAAAATGGGTATATAAGCTAAAACTCTTACCAAATGGTGAGATAGCTGAGTACAAGACAAAGTTGGTTGCAAAGACGTTATTTCAAATACTTGGAATTGAATTCGATGAGACATACACACTAGTTTCTAGACGTGAAACCATAAGAATAATGGTGGTCATTGCATCATACCAAATGGTGGAAGATGCATTAACTGAATGTAAAATCAACTTTTCTCAACGGACCACTAAAGAAGAAGACATATGCCATGAAAACACCATGTTTTGAAATGAAAGGGAAATAAGAGAATGTGTGCATGCTACTAAAAGAAATGCATGGATTGAAACAAACATATAGAGCATGGATCAAGAGAATTGACTACTTACTCATCAAGCTAGGATTCAACATATGCAAATTGGAACTTGGAGCGTATGTGAAAGATTCAAGTGAGCAGGACCAAATCATTTTACGCTTATATATTGATGATCTAGTAGAACATAATAAAATGAAGGTAAAATGGCAAGATTCGAGGCCAGTATGAAAAATGAATTTAAAATGTCATACCTAGAGAATTTGGTCTGCTTCCGAGAAACAGAATTTGTAAACACAAAGTTTGGTATTCTCTTGCACCAGAAGAAATATGCAGAAGTTATCTTGAAGAAATTTAAGATAAGTAATTGCAACACTGCAATTACTCCTACGAAAACATGTACAAAGTTGAATAAGTATAAAATTGATGAACTTATGGATGCAATCTTGTATCAGAAGATCATTGACTCACATATGCCTATACATCATTAGACCTGGCATTTGTCATAGTGTTAGCTTGGTAAACATATTCATGGGGAAACCAAGAACATGACATCTACTTGCAGCTAAAAGAATCATCTAATATGTTAAAGGCATTGTAGATCATGGTATACTTATATCATTTCAGAAGGACACTCGAAAGGAGGCTAATGTTAATGGTTATTCTGACTCAGATTAGGGAGGATATCAATATGACATAAAAAGTACAGCATAGTACTTGTTCATAATTTGATCAACTCCAATTTCAAGGCGAAAATAGAAATAAGAAATAATGGCTCTATCATCTTGCGAGGTAGAGTGTGTTGCAACCTCTTATGCAGCTTGTCAAGCATTATGGATGAAAAATCATTGGAAGATTTAACATTTAACGAAGTTGTGTAAATCAAGTTGTTAATTGACAACAAACCAATAATTGATTTGGCTAATCGTCTAATGAGTCGTGGAAGGAGATATTGTGTAAAAAGGAAATATAATTTTATAAGAAACCAAGTTAGCAAGGATAAATTGAAAATTGAATATTGCAATACTAATTTACAACTTGCAGATACTTTAACAAAACCTTTGAATAAACCAAGGTTTGAAAGTTTGAAAGTTTTTATGGGAATGAGAAGGCTAATTGATCTGAATTGTTTAGAGCACTGACACTGTAATGCATATTTAGTGGCAGTATAATTGTATTGCAAATGAGTGACTTGCAACATAAACAAACAATTACAAACTAGCAGTTTAAAATATCATTTAATTAGTTACTTCTCATTCTATACTGTTGGAACTCAACCACGACCTATGATGAATTCTTCTCAATTTTGATCTTAAAGATTTTTATGTAATAACAATGAACAAAAACAAGAACACGTTTAAAGAAGATGAGTTTGAGTTGCAGAGTAATTCTCTACCCACAACTGTGGAATTTTATTATCACTCTGCAACTGCAAAACCGTGATTATCAAACTTGATGATTACAATGATAAGGGTTCCTCCCTATTTATAGATTTAGGTTAACTTGCATCTCAAGATAAAGTCCAAACTATAAAATCCCAAAAATATCTAATCTGATCTTTCTAAATCAAATCTGATCTTTCTAAATCAAATCTGATCTTTCTAAATCAAATCTAATCTTTCTAAAACAATGAATTACATATTTAACACACCACCTAATTCATTGTGTCTAAACTATCTACATTCATCGTAGACCTTACTGATATTCCATTTGTCATGATGTCTGCAATCTGATTCTCAGTTTTGCAGTGTTCCAAATTCGTCTTCCCTTCTGCTACCTGTTCTCGAAGATAATGAAACCCTCATTTCGATGTGCTTGCTTCGACCATGTGCTATTGGATTCTTCGTCAAGTTGATAAATGATATGTTGTTTATCTTCATGGTAATTGTTCCATGACTCTTCGCTATGATCTCTTCGACCAGGTTAACCATCCAGGTTGCTTAACATGCACAAAGAGAAGCAGCTATATATTCTGCATTGCATGATGACAATGCCACTACTGGCTCCTTTCTCGAACTCCAAGCAACTGGTGCACCACCTAGCATAAACACATACCCAACTGTGGATTTTCTATCCTCAGTACCACTACACCAACTTGAGTCGGTGTATCCCACTAACTTACATTATTTTCCTTCATCAAATCAGGAACAAAATGCCGTAGTCGAGAGTCCCTTTTAGATATCTTAGTATCCTCTTTGTCGCTGCTAGGTGTGATACCTTTGGCTTCTGCATTACTTACCATACCCACACTGTATGCTAAGTCAGGCCTTGTGTGACAAAGGTATCGAAGTGACCCAATAAGTCATCTATATTAGGTTGGGTTGACATCATCTTCATCTGAATCTTTCGACAGTTGCAATCTGGTCTCAGCTAGAGTCGAAGTTAGGTTGCAGTCTTGCATCTCAAATCTCTTGAGTATTTCGCCTGCATATCTTCTTTGGTGCATCATCAAACTTCTACTAGTCTTGTAAAATTCGATGCTAAGGAAGTATGAGAGTTCTCCCAAGTCTGACATTTCAAACTCCTCACTTAGGTCATGTTTAAAATCTTCGATCTCCTTTTTGCAACTTCCTGTTATCAACAGGTCATCGACATAGAGACATGGTATAAGCAATTCACTATTGCTTCTCCTTATATATACTCTGAGCTCAGTTGTGCACTTCACAATTTTTTTCTCCTTTAGAAAGCTTTCGATCTTCTTATTCCAAGCTCTTGGAGCTTGCTTAAGTCCATACAGGGCTTTATGCAGCCTGTACACCTTTCTTTCTTTACCTTGTTTCACAAATCTAACTTGTTGTGCGACATAAACTTCTTCGTCAAAGGGGTCATTCAAGAATGCACATTTCACATTCATTTGACATGTGTGTCAAATGTTCATGTTTGCTAGACCAATAACCAACCTGATTGTTTCGATCCTAACAACAGGTGCAAAAACTTCGTTGAAGTCGATTCCTTCCTTCTGTAGAAATACTTTCGTCACAAGTCTCGCCTTGTGTCAAGTTACCTGTCCTTTAGGATTCACCTCCACCTTGTAAACCCACTTCACATTAATTTCCTTCTTGCCTTGAGGAAATTCGACAAGTGACCAGGTTTTGTTAACTTCAATGGACTCTAACTCCTCATTCATTGCTTTCACCCACTTTGAATCTTTCAATGCCTCAGCTGCATTGATTAGTTCAACATCTGCGTAGGAAGCATAATATACCAGCTCACCCTCTTCATCAACCACATAATCTGATGTAA